AAATTAGGATGTTCAATGTTTAAATAAACAAATTTAAAATAAATAAAAAATTAAAATATATTAAAAGTATTTGGTGTGTAATAGAAACAAAAGGTTTACTTGTGAGTAACACAGAAATCATTGGTGAGGGAATTCGGCCAACCGAAGAGCAAGGCCAGTGGTAACGCCTGACAACATCGGTTAGACTACCCGCATAGTGTGTAACCCTGTAAATCTGGTCTGGGAATACTCGGTCTGTGACACAGATAATCATCCGAGCATTCAGCTATATTACAACCATATAGTTCAATGGTTATGATGACGAAACAATAATAAATATATATGTCGGTTGAAATAATTCATGTGTCAATTCAATGTCTTATTATTGGAATTGATAGTGATTTTTAAAGTCAAATGATTGTCTTTTAATACTAAAATAAGAAATTAAAACCTTAAACGTTGTTCCAACAAGTCTTTTTCCAAACCAAGTGATTACCTGTGAGTTATAAATGGGAAGGGTAATATATTGTAGAAACCTAATTCAAATTATTGTGTTCGTGGTTACGACTTTTTTTTATCTCTACAGAATAGCATTAGTGCAATTAAACTAACTGCGAAAGAATTTATTTAGGTAATAAAGATGAATTTTTTAAATCGATTGGGGAATTTTTCATAGCAATGCAGAATTTAAAATTATTCTTTAGGCTTTTACTAAATATATTCAACAACCTTTTATTATAGATAAGGTAAGTTATTTTCTGAAAGTATTAGAGAACCACTTGGTATCCAGGCTTACGCCCGATTTAAAATTTTCTCCTAACTTTTTGAAACTTTAACAGTTACTAACTTGTCTGATAGTAGCAAATCTACAGGTTGTGGCGCACAGCGTGATACAATACAAACAACAGAATAGGGCAATGTTGATTGTTTGACTTCAAACACAACTGCTAAACCAGGTACACGACACAAGACCATAGCTTAAACACGCGAATGTTACTTTGTGTCTAGCTGAACTGTTTATAAAACAACAGAAACAACATAATCGAATCGGGCAACGTTCAAACGTCAAACACTACTGTGCTAAACCAGTACACAAGACAAGATCATAGTTTAAACACATGTATAGGTCATCATAGAAACTAATAAGTTGATGTTTGCTTGGTTTACCGCATGTGTACTTGAAGTAGTACAAACAAAATCTGACAACGATTGAGTAGAGATCAATATCTATTGACACAAGTGCGATTTGAGTACAGCAACAAACATGGCGCAAAGAGAGGCGTATTTGGTGAACCCAGTTGGGTCGGCCACAACAATTTATGAACCACAACATGATAGGCCATGATCCACAACATTTTTGGGTAGACTCCCGTATCTGTTGGCAAAAACAACCGAATGAAAATATCTATTATTCAATTGTCCACCCCAATTTTTACAGAAGTTGGTGTTTTGGCATGGCTTATAGACCAGGTGAATACCTTAAACGTAATCAAATTATAAAAATTATTATTCAATACCTTTTTGGCTTTTCACGCAGTAAAATTGACCTGCTTCAGTAGGGTCACTCATTGTTATTTAGAAGCACGGTGTTATGTGAGATATAATAATTATCATTGCCCGATTCTGTTTGTGTTGTTTTATAAACAGTTCAGTTTGACACAAAGTAACATAATATTATGTTACTTTGTGTCAAGCTGAACTGTTTGATTCCAATAATAAGACATTGAATTGACACATAAATTATTTCAACCGACATACATATTGGTTATTTTTCCGGCAGCATAACCATTGACTATAAATTGAACTATATGGTTGTAATATAGCTGAATGCCTAGATGATTATCTGTGTCACAGACCGAGTATTCCCAGACCAGATTTAGAGGGTTGCACACTATGCGGGTAGTCTAACCGATGTTGTCAGGCGTTACCACTGGCCTTGCTCTTCGGTTGGCTGAATTCTCTCACCAATGATTTCTGTGTTACTCACAAGTAAACCTTTTGTTTTTATTACACACTAAATACTTTTTGTCATCTCGTATATGTTTTTCATTTGTTGAATAATGATGTATAATAGTTATTATTTTATTAATAACAATACGCTATGTGGATAGATTGATGTGATTTTGAAATTTAGATAAATAATAATCATCTCTTGTTCAGTATAATACAAAAATACTACTATTATTTTTTTGGTCTTGTACACAAGTTTATGACATTTAAGACCCTTGTTTTTTGGGTACGTGCCTTACTTTTCTATGTTTAATTCATCGTTATAGTAAATTTGTGCATTATTTCCAAATTATCCGATTGAAAACATAATGTAAAGGGTGTACTGCAATTGACAGACAAATAAATGAGCGTTTTATACGTTAAAATAATTACTTGACAAGTTGTACGGGGTAACGTTTGGTGCTTGTTACATAAAAAAAACTAAGCAGGTTTAAAAATATATGACTTACTATCCTAATTTGCACTATCTATAATTTTTGAATTACTGGTAGTGGTAACATTTTCATTGATCAAATTAATCATAACATTATTTTTAGGAATACATATGAAAGAACAGTCGTTTGCATAGAAAAATCACCGAGACAATTAATTATTGACATACATTATTATTCTATGTTAATCACTATCCATTTTAATTTTATGATGAAACAAATTTATTACTTATCTATTAAAACTATGTATTGAGGTAGACTTGCATCCTTAGATAAGTTCTGAGCAACCAAGCCACGGCATTATACAAGCGATTTATCTGGATTTATTGTAAATTAGCTGCGGGATTAAACGTTTCAGACCCAGGTCATGCTCCATAACAGCTCACCTCATTTTGTGTAGTCAGGGTGGTGTTTATCCTCGGAATATCGTTTTATTTAATACACTTATACTTACAGAGCGCTTGGTGTTATTGTATTATATGTGTTTATACCAAGCACCATGGTACTATTCGTTCAATAGTAGCCTAATATAAAATCGGTATCGAAAAATCAATTGATAGATCATATTTAATACAAATAAGCAAGTACATAAATTGAATGAATAGTTAGGTAGCTTATCTTTGTTTATCAATCTATAAAGCATACTGGGAAACAAATAAATTATTAAAATCTGTATAAATATAATTAAAATCTAAATATAGGCAAATTTATTTAAAGGGTACATGAAAATAGAGAACAGAAAGTATGCTGTCATATGTTAGCCAATAAGAAATACATTTTCCACATTTTAGAACTAACACTAGCTTGTGGATTTGTGACAAAATCTATTAATCTTAATATTGCATACATTAATTTTAGCCTCTTACTTTTAATGGCTAGATTTAATGGGAAGATTTCTTAACAGTGTTAAGATTTAATTCAGTATGCCAATAATTAATTGTCTCGGAGATTTTTCTATGCAAACGACTGTTCTTTCATATGTATTCCTAAAAATAATGTTATGATTAATTTAAACCTACAAGTAATGGATAAATACTTGTAAGACAAATATTTTGTAATCAACAAATATGGAAACTCATATTGTATATATCTACCACATATTGAAAAACTAAATTAGGCCTTCGTCGATCCTCTTTTTAAAGTAATGGATAATGTAAACACCATGTTGAACTATTAAGAGTTCTGATTACTATAAAGACGTCTTGTAATCCAGCTACTAGGAGGTCACGAATTGTGGATATTTATAGGCATACACTGTGAATGCGATATGAATGAGATGTGAATGCCCTGGTGTGGATTAACGTCCGCACTAGTGAGTACTACGACTATACGCAGTACTATCCTGATAATTAGACCAATTCGTTAATACCAAGGCAAAATGTGGTTCAATTTCCACTTTAACTGTAGGTCCCTTAGTAGCCATTAGCTGTATGGGCTATTAATTAACAGCTGTGTCTAAGGAATATGTCGGCCTTAGTCACTAACAAGACTACAAGATCGCACCACTTATCCTATACTCATCTCCATTCATACTTGGCTTAAAATACCTTTAATGGCCGCCATTTTATTGAAAGGTAAAGTAAAGTAAGTAATAAACATTTGAACTAATTCTACTTGACAATTTCTCACGATGGTTCTTTCGACTATTATGAGAAACAATTGTTTTACTTAGATTCGTTTAGCTAAATAAATAACTCAAACAGGCTAATAAAACCTTATAACGTTGTATTTTTGGATTTGTCTCATTTTAAGAGTTTAAGTTATCGTTGCTATACAGACATATATGTCCGATATATTCTGGGTGGTGTATCATAAACAGATATAGAGCTAGCCAGGATTATAGGCTTGGCTATCTCAAAGGATTTAATTGCATACCATAACAACGGAGGGGACAAGTTTCACATTGCTTTGATGCTCATCTTCCCTTTATGTACTTAATAATGCTTTATATCATAATATGGTTTGCTACCAATCTATTTTCTTGATATGAAATTTTCATTTTTCATTTTTTAATTCACAGGTAACTTTGTGTGTGGTACAGAATTGGTGCTAAAATATGTGATACCTCTCGAAAATCAAGAGAAAGCTATAACTGCTGCGATCCATACATGGTATTTATATCGCGACTCATGGCTAAATTTAATTTGCAAACTTATTTTCTTTAAATATGTTTTTGTATTTACAAAACGAAGTTTTTTTTACTAACATGTGAAACATATATACTATTCAAGGTTGACTAAATTCTGAAGTATTTTCTCTACGCATTCTCTCTGGTGGAGATTATTTTTTGCACTGCTTTGCTAAAGACTCTTCTAGGTTCCTCTTCCAGGTCTTCATTTCATTCATCCTAACCTAGCTAGCAATAGGATCATACATAAATTATGCCATGCTTTTGATATTTAATTTGATAAGGATATAAGTGATAAATTTAGTGTACTTTGAAACTGTTTAAACTTAAGTTTAACAACATAAAGGAAGCTGCTTGCCAAGATCAAGTGATTTGTTGATGTATACTATATGACATATGGGTAATTTAATACTTAATTAAGGGATGAACATTTTTTTTCAATTCTAACTTACCTTTGCTCCAAGGGATGAGTAAGGCTCGTCAAACAACGACCAGACCCGCGGTTTTAGCTTCTGCCACCAATTGAGTCTTCCCGCCAAATATGCCTCTTCGTAGCCAAAAAGGCGCGCAATCTCTTCCTCATTGGGCTTCTCCGAGTCAATGTCAAGCTTGTCCAGGATGGCTAAGGTGGTCTGAAACAATGAAAAAAACTTTTTAACCCAGACTGTACAGAACAGTTGGGACTATCTTTATACTATATATTATTCATTTTTTAATATATTATTATCTTTTTTCTATATATTACTATATATTTGATCCCCCGAAGCCATTACTACAGTAGAGTTATTGCAACTTGCTGTTATCGATGCCATTACACACCTATAGATAACCTGTGCAATAAATTTTATGCCCTACACTGACCCTGCTAGATTGCTTTTCCCGCAGTCATTACTCTTTTTCTGATCCCCTAAAGGCATCACTACAGTAGAGTTATTGCAACTTGCTGTTATCTATGTCAATACACAACTATAGTAAGATAACGTTTGCTATACATGTTAAACCCTACACTGACCCTGCTAGATTGCTTTACCCGCAGTCATTACTATATCTCTGATCCCCTTAAGCCATCACTACAGTAGAGTTATTGCAACTTGCTGTTATCGATGCCATTACACACCTATAGATAACCTGTGCAATAAATGTTATGCCCTACACTGACCCTGCTAGATTGCTTTTCCCGCAGTCATTACTCTTTTTCTGATCCCCTAAAGGCATCACTACAGTAGAGTTATTGCAACTTGCTGTTATCTATGTCAATACACAACTATAGTAAGATAACGTTTGCTATACATGTTAAACCCTACACTGACCCTGCTAGATTGCTTTACCCGCAGTCATTACTATATCTCTGATCCCCCGAAGCCATTACTACAGTAGAGTTATTGCAACTTGCTGTTATCGATGCCATTACACACCTATAGATAGCCTGTGCAATAAATGTTATGCCCTACACTGACCCTGCTAGATTGCTTTTCCCGCAGTCATCACTCTTTTTCTGATCCCCTTAAGCCATCAGTACAGTAGAGTTATTGCAACTTGCTGTTATCTATGTCAATACACAACTATAGTAAGATAACGTTTGCTATACATGTTAAACCCTACACTGACCCTGCTAGATTGCTTTATCCGCAGTCATTACTATATCTTTAATCCCCCGAAGCCATTACTACCGTAGAGTTATTGCAGCTTGCTATTATCGATCGCATTACACAACTGTAGATAACCTGTGCTATAAATGTTAAGCCCTTCACTTACCCTACTAGATTGCTTTTCCTGCAGTCATTACCCTTTGTCTGATCCCCTGAAGCAATTACTACAGTAGAGTTATTGCAACTTGCTGTTATCTATGTCAATACACAACTATAGTAAGATAACGTTTGCTATACATGTTAAACCCTACACTGACCCTGCTAGATTGCTTTACCCGCAGTCATTACTATATCTCTGATCCCCTTAAGCCATCACTACAGTAGAGTTATTGCAACTTGCTGTTATCGATGCCATTACACACCTATAGATAACCTGTGCAATAAATGTTATGCCCTACACTGACCCTGCTAGATTGCTTTTCCCGCAGTCATTACTCTTTTTCTGATCCCCTAAAGGCATCACTACAGTAGAGTTATTGCAACTTGCTGTTATCGATGCCATAACACAACTATAGATAACCTGTGCAATAAATGCTAAAGCCCTACACTGACCCTGCTAGATTGCTTTAACCGCAGTCATTGCTCAATGTCTGATCCCCTTTAGCCATCACTACAGTAGAGTTATTGCAACTTGCTGTTATCGATGCCATAACACAACTATAGATAACCTGTGCAATAAATGCTAAAGCCCTACACTGACCCTGCTAGATTGCTTTAACCGCAGTCATTGCTCAATGTCTGATCCCCTTTAGCCATTACTACAGTAAATTTATTGCAACTTGCTGTTATCGATGCCATAACACAACTATAGATAACCTGTGCAATAAATGCTAAAGCCCTACACTGACCCTGCTAGATTGCTTTAACCGCAGTCATTGCCCAATGTCTGATCCCCTTTAGCCATCACTACAGTAAATTTATTGCAACTTGCTGTTATCGATGCCATTACACAACTATAGATAACCTGTCCAATAAATATTAAGCCCTACACTGACCCTGCTAGATTGCTTTACACGCAATCATTACTCAATCTCTCATCCCCAGAAGCCATCACTACAGTAGAGTTATTGCAACTTACTGTTATCGATGCCATCACACAACTATAGTAAGATAACCTGTGCAATAAATGTTAAGCCCTACACTGACCCTGCTAGATTGCTTTACCCGCAATCATTACTCAATCTCTCATCCCCAGAAGCCATCACTACAGTAGAGTTATTGCAACTTGCTGTTATCGATGCCATAACACAACTATAGTATAGATAACCAGTGCAATAAATTATAAGTCCTACACAAATGATAAGCCAAACACTGACCCTGCTAGATTGCTTTACCCGCAATCATTACTCAATCTCTGATCCCCTGAAGCCACCACTACAGAGTTATTGCAACTTGCTGTAATCTATTACAATAACAATCTAGATTAAGATAACTTGTCTATTAAATACTTATCCAGATATACTGATTAACCTATACTGAGTCCTCCAAAATGCCTTATCGCATTTATGCCTCAGAAGTAACACTTTGATCACAAGGTTAGATTTTATTTAAATTTGTTCATTCTACACTAGAATATCAGCACTTTTCTAGTGGTACACTTTCCATATTGTTTTAGATTTTCCTATAAATTATGTTCGCATAGATTTAGTCCACTTTGATAATTAATAGTTTACATTTACGGGCTTATATGGAACGCAATAATTCATTAGATGATTATATCATTATATTTAACACATTTTTGAATATTATTTCGGGTTTTTATTAGTATACGCTAATTTGCACTGCTTAAGCTCAACATATTCCGTGATTTGTGCCCACTTTACTATCGTTTATTGTTATTCTTTACCTGTTTTAAATTACAATAGCCCAAGTTTTAATAATTGATAATTTAATTAGATCGCGATTGATTTTGACTTAAGAATCTTTTTAGAATCTAGTCAAATGAAGCAGCGTAAAGATATCAGACTTTGCAAGATTGTATCGTATATTTTGTTGGGAAGGGTAGTAAAAATATGAGGTTTATGTTTTAATCAACCCCCAACATGTGAGGACGGACAGTAATGCAGAGTTATGTGAGGCTATGGGAGGTGTCTGGATGACTTTAGCTAGGCTGCTTTCATCTCACCTTACACACTACCAGAGTATTGCTTGTGTGAGTTGGTGGATTTTTCCCATTTAGATGAAATAGTGATAAAGGAACCCTGATAGTTTCACTTTGAAAAGTGAAAAAACCTCAAGAAAACCACTGAGTTTACCTCGAATTTCATTCTCCATCCCTTTACCCATTTTAGCATTAAGGCAGTTTTTATTTACAATAGTAACACTTATTAGTATATTAGGTTAGGTTGGGTGTGAAGTTAGGTTATGTTAGATTAGATTAGGACTATGTTCACGGACCTTTGCCGTTAACATAGTCCTAACCCAACCTAATATACTAATTGGTGGTAGTCAATTAACGGAAAAGGTCCGGAGATTGTAGCATGAGGACAATAATATCTGACTACTTAACAAAACTAAAATGGAAAGAAAGTTAGTATAAAAAGTCAACAATGTGATTACTCCTAGTTCTATATAACAATGACTTTAGGAGACTTATATACTTCTTTGATGGTTGCAGTCTTGTTATAAATCTAGTTTATTTTTTAAGTATACTATTTTACTGAAAACCAGGTTAGTGGAAAGCTCGGTGCCCAATAAATATAAACTAAAACACTGCACCGACGTGTATTTACAATTTCCAATTTACATGTAAATTGCGTTTACCAAAACAACCTCTTCATCGTAATTAATAAATCAGAATGAGGAGGAGCTACTCCACGTTCGTAAGTGTTCTCAAGGGGAAACGACGTCCTGATAAAACTATCTCCTACCTTCAATACACTTAACAAATAGTATATCAACAAACACTAGTTATCCATCCGCGAACAATTATCATTGATAATGTTAGTTATTTAAAATAACATTATTATATGTACGCAAGCTTTACTTATGTGTCTATCGTTTAAAATAGTAACGACTGTGTAAACCACATTTCCTTAGCAATAATTTGAAAACTCCTAAATGAATTTTATTTAAATTCATACTAGAAATATTTTACAATTCGTAACAACATACATTTTTTTCAAATCATCAAATTTAATCAGGCTAGTCTAAGTCGGTCAGATTTCTAATTCAGTGTAATTATAGACTAGCCAACAGATTAAGCTCTTGGTCACTATTTCTTTATTCATTTGTGGGTTGATTGCAAAACTTACAGATTTTAACCGTTCATTGCAAGCTTATTTCTATAAATAATGTGATTCACTAAAGTAGATAACAGTGGTACCTAAGACATTCCAAATTTGATTATAATTAAGTTGTTTTATGATTATGGGCAAATATGCTGCATAAACAGATAATATTAGAAATTTTTTATCAAAGTCTTTTCCCATCGTTCCTAAAAATTACCAATAGAGCCTTTTTATGACTGAAGTGTGATAAATAAACAACTATAAATTATTATTAAATCACTGAAGTTACTGCAAACAATCAATTTAAGTTGAATCAAGATAAATAAATCATATGAACAAAGTAGATAACAGAAGGGAAGTAATTCAAACCACCATTTGTTAGAAATCTAAAACTCAAACTCTTTCGTCATGCGATGTAAATATGAGAAAAGTTATGAGATGAAAAGTGAGCAAAGATTTCAACCGTAAATATCCAGCCCTTCATTTCCCTAGAGGTTGATTCTTTATACTTCATATAGTTCACGTCTCCCTTTATTTGTGCAGGTAAAACTTAAGTTATTAATTGAAAAATAAAAATAAACTGACTTACACCTTAAAACCCATGGTAGGTCTTAGGTTATGTAACGTTGTCCACTTAGGCATGGTAAAGTGGTACATCCATCAGAAGTGTGGTTCGTTTTTAAAAAGATTCTCAGTTGCTATTTGGTAGGTTGGCAAAATCTTAGGCTATAAAAATAATATCCTT